TCCTCAGCGACGACAGGGTGCTGAAGTAACCTAATCAGCCACAGCACATTATTCTTCACACCCCTCACACGGAACTCTGCGAGGGCGCGAAGCATCTTGCGCCGGGCAGCCTGAAAGTCATGGCCAGTGCAGATGCATTTCACCAGAAGACTGTCGTAGTGAGGGGTCACGATAGCCCCCGTGTAGGCCGGTCCGCCGTCGAGACGAACGCCGGGACCGCCAGGAGTTCGATACTGCTCAATGCGGCCAGTATCTGGACGGAAGTTGAGGTTCGGGTCCTCTGCTGTCACGCGGCATTGGATGGCGACGCCGCGAAGTGTGATATGGGATTGGGTAAGACCGAGGGAGGGGAGGGTTGCGCCCAGGGCGATTTGAATCTGCGCGGAGACGATATCGATTCCAGTGATCTCCTCAGTGACGCAGTGCTCGACCTGGATCCTATTAAATATATGAAAAAAGGAGGGGGGGGGGGGAGGCATGGGTAGAGAGTAAGAAGATTAAGGTCAAAATAAACGAAGAGGACAGACCTCGGATTGATCTCGATAAAGTAGTGCTTGTTCTCTTGGTCGACAAGGAACTCTGCCGTCCCGGCATTACGGTAGCCCACGGCCTTGGCCAGCTTGATGGCGTCGGAGAGGATGGCCTCCCTAACGTGATTAGGGAGATTGGCAGGCCCAAGCTCCACCACCTTCTGATGCCTCCTCTGCACCGAGCAATCCCTCTCAAACAGATGCACAACGTTTCCATGATTGTCGGCCAGTAGCTGGACCTCAATGTGACGGGGCCTTTCGACAAGCTTTTCGATGAACATGGTATCGTCTCCAAACGCGGCGAGCGATTCGGACTTTGCCCGGTCATAGAGAAGGGGGAGGGACTCCATGTCCCTGACAACACGCATTCCACGGCCACCACCGCCGTTCGCCGCCTTGATCATGACGGGCAGGCCATACTTTGCCACAAACGCCATGGCCTCTGCAACGGAGGTGACAGGTCCGTCGGAACCTGGAACGACGGGCACGTTGGCCGAGATGGCCAGGGAGCGAGCTCGGGTCTTGTCACCACACGATTCAATGACACTGGGAGGCGGTCCGACAAAGGCGATGCCAGCCTCCTCGACCTTTCGAGCAAAGACGGGGTTTTCGGAGAGGAAACCGTAACCTGGATGAATGCATGACACGCCGCGCTTGACGGCTATTGAGATCACCTCGTCGATGGCGAGATAGGCTTGAACGGGTAAGTACTGGCCAGGCTCGCCGATCTGGTAGGATTCGTCGGCTTTGTACCTGTGCATGGACAGGCGGTCTAAAAGAAACAAGATTGGTGAGCAGACGGAGGCGAGAAGCATTCATTGTGAACATTTCCGATCGCAAATAATCAGGCCCTGGCATGCATGCCTCTCCACCAGCGTGTTTCCTGTTTTGTTGTCTATCTCGCGTTCATTGTCCACTATGAGGGCTGGACGACTCAAAAGCGAGGATGAAGATACAATAGGTGAAGGGGGGATAAAAGAGAACTTCAACAACGAGAGGAGGAGGAGGCTCACCCTCATGAGAGTAGATGGAGACGGTTGTCATGCCGAGCTCAAAGCCCGCCCTGATGACCCTGATGGCAATCTCACCCCTGTTTGCGACGAGGATGACGCCCTGCGCACCGCTGGAGACGGTCATTTGAAGGAATGGAAATGAATGGAATGGAAGGGAAGGAAGGAAGGAAGGGAGAGGAAATAAAAGAATGGATGGATGGATGGATGGATGGATGGGTAGAAGTAGAAGCAGGAAGGGAACAGCGCAGGTTGAAGAAGAAGCGGCAGGCAGATGCAAAGAGGCAGAGGGAGGGACAACTCCCTGCCAACCAACCTTCATGCAGCCAATCACATGCCCTGTTGCAGATTGCAGCCGCAGCATTGGTGGCTAGAATGATTTATCGCTGGCAGGAAAGCTCTCATCTCATCTTATCGATTGAATGAATGAATGATTATTTTGAATGGAATCAATTCAATTCATCAGTGCCACAATTCAATTCAATTCAATTCAAATTCACTTCAAATTCAACTATAAATAAACCCAAAACTGCATTCCTGTTTTTAACTCTTCACGTTCAATTTTCGTATGATAAAAAGTGTGTGCCGCTTTATTCTGTCATCTACTAGTAAATAAATAATGCATGGAAGCATTGTCCGCTCTGCCCCCTCCCTCTGCACCTCACATCACAAGCAGGTAGACAAACGCTGGCACAATGTTGTACCAGAAGGGGATCTTGCCTCCCTTCGACGCGCTGCCGGTCCGCGAAGTCGTGGTGGAGGACGTGCCAGGCACCGCACTGGCAGTTCCCGACACAGTTCCCGACCGAGATGTGGTGGTGGCGGCGGCGCCGGAACTGGCAGCCCTTGACGAGGTTATGGGGAGGATTGAGGCGCTGGCGCTACCAGAAGCCAGGATAGTGATCTAAAAAAATTGAAGTGAGTGGGTATGCTATGTAAGGGAAAGAGAAGATAAAGAAAAAAGAGACGAAAGGGATGTTATTGCTTACCGGAGGGCTTGAGAAGTAGTTCGCGACATTGCCTCCAAGAATGGCGGAGATGGCCTATTAGGCAGCGGAAGTCTCATGGTTAATTGTACGAAACTCAATACCTATAGAACAACATAGAGAAATGTGAGAGCCTGCCCCAATGACTCACAAAAGTTCCGGCGGGAGCGTTGGCTGGAATGGTGACAGTGGCCTGGAGGTCCGAAACGCGGAAGCTTCCCTCAAATGTGGAGAAAACGGTTCCGGTGGTCTCGCCACGGCGAATGTCCTGAAGACGAAGAGAGACTGTAGTGTCAGGGGCGAAGCCGGTAAAAGTCCAAGTGACGCGCTGACGGAAAAAAGTAAAGAAGAAAAGTTAAAAAACACTCCTAATTCTCTTTTCTACACAAAGGGTAATAGCAAACTCACGAGAGAGGCTCCGGCGGCCACGTTGGCGTTGGTGAGAGGTTGGACAATAACAAATGTAGACGCCCCCGCGGCGGGAGCACCCGCAGTGGTGGTGGGCCTGACTGAAGTGGTGGTGACCCCTGAGGTGGTGGTGCCTTGGGCGATGGCAAGGCCAAAGAAGGCGAAGAGGACAATCAGCGTTGAGTTGATGAGCTGCATTGCTAATGTGATGCTGTTCAGTGCTGGAATTGGTTAAGGATATGAGATGAGGTGCTGGCATTCCTCTCCATCCTTTTATCACCGCGCCATGGCGTGCAAAGGTGTTCTGAAGACACAAGTCTTCGGTCAAGACACCAGTCCAATCACTTTCGTACTGGATGCCCACTCTTTGTGATTCGGGTGTTGGAAAGGCCAATCACTCGAAGACGCCAATCCAAGGCTGCCTGTTTTGTGAGATGATATTCAACTGAGGGGAACTAAGCAACACCTGTCTACCACTGCGAGAACTGGCTTTGCATCCAGATTGGTTGGTCTTCGTGACATAATTCACAGCCTTTGGTGGCGATACGCCAGATTTCAAAGATTTCCAGTTTGAGAGCCCAATCCCAACGAGATCCCATCAGACATGAACGCGAGACAGGCTACGAACACAACGGAGTCACAACAAGAAGGAAAGGGATTGTGCAGATTGAATATGTCATTCATAGATTACGGGTATCAACAGCCAGCAGCAAATTGCCAGGGTGCATACAGATTTTGATAATTCTTTGGGCTCAAACAGGTTGCAGCTGTCCACCAGCTGAAGCCCCAGAGGTGCTTCCTACATCCTGAGAAGGGTACAAGTAGACAGCGGGAGGGAAAGGTTGAGCAATCGCTGATCTTTTAGGTGTTAAGGATGGAGCCAGGACCGCATGAATGGGTGGAGGAATTTGGGCGGCTGGGGAGTAGTGTGGTAGGTTTGAGCGCAGTTTACCGAATGGGCGAACATTAGAAGGGGTGATGTTGGTCTTGGGTTGTGGAGATTGTTGGCTACACTGAAAGTGTGGAATGGGCGGAATGGGTGGAAAAGGAAAGTTAAACCATGTCCACATGGATTGACCATAGATGTTGTTAATTAAAGGCATAGCAGCAATGCAAAAAGAGATGCTGATAACATAAAATGGCAGACCGCAAAAATGGCCATAAGAACACACCAACCTTTAAAGATTGCTGACTTACTGAAACCTCACCGCCACGGCGTCTCTCCTTCCTGAGCTGCTTAAGTTGCCTCCGAAGGTTATCAATAACCCGCTTCTGACGGTAATCCTCCTTCTCAGCTGCATACAAGCGCTTCCGAAACTCTTTGAGCTCCTCTTGCTCCCGTTCCAGATGCTTTTTTAGGACACTTTGCTCCAGTGTGGCACCATTAATCGGAGCCTCAGCTTCTTCAGGGGTGATTTGAGAGGAGGTCAGGGGTGATTCAATGGCGGAGGAGCTCACTACGAGCGATTGAAGGGATGCAATGAGGCGCTCCATCTGCTCAAGCTGGTCCCGATGTTTTGTGAGCTCGATGTGCTGCACCTCATGGTTGGCAATCGCCACTTCGAGCAGCCGGCGGCATGCATCGACTGCAGAATGATGAAGGATGCATTTCAGCTAAAGTCTTCCTCTTTCGACCGTCAGCTTACAATCCGATGAGGACAAGGTCGAAGACTCCAGTGGGTTTGTCATTATTCTTTGAATGGATGAAGAGCCCACAACGAAAATGTGTGCTGAAGTGACGTCCGTCACCCTTGAGCTGTCTCCCGCACGATTACCCTCTAATCGCTGCAAGAGAAAGGCGATGAAGCGGCTATCTATCGTCGTCAAACGATCACACTTCTTCACCAAGACTGCCTATTGTTTCGAGCTTAGACTCCGCTGACCAATGAGCTGCACCACGTGCATTGAGTGGTTCAACCAATCATCCATCTCTCTATCATAAACCGCAAGCCAAATGAAACGATTACCTATCTGGTTTATTAACCCAATAGGCTTGAATATCTATGAGAGTGAGCACCTTTACCATTTTGGTTCATATAAGGCTAGTTTTCGAACAGATTATCAGCGGGGAATTAGCTCAGATGGTAGAGCGCGCGCTTAGCATGCGCGAGGCAGGGGGATCGATACCCCCATTCTCCATTTTTTAACAATTGAATATGAGGAATTATTGTTTCCCATCTATGATGTCTCTTTGATTAAACTGAGGAGCGCCTGATGTCCACAATTCTTTTTCTTGGGCACTTTTTTAACCTTCAGGTGTATTTTATTGGGGATAGGCTAAATGCTCCAACTATGGAGTCTGGGAGCAGAGATGCGAGCATTATTGTATAATCAATAAAGTTCTTTTTGATGAACTGCTATACTACATGAACCGACTCTGCATTGACGGCCCCAACCGACAAACACTGATTAGCCAAGCACAAGACCATCTGCAAATTCATACTGGTTGGGAGAAAACCAGTGAGCGCCTCTGATGCAACTCCCACTGACTTCGGATCCACAAGGACGTCCAACGCTTCCTCCAATGCCTCGTCCAGCGCTGTTATTCATGCCAAAAGATCAAGCACTGACGGCACGTTCTTATGGTCAACTTCACCCCTTACCTACCTCGCTGGAACATTGGGACATGGTGGCTGTCAATATATCGGCCCCCTAATCCCCTTGATGGTTATCATCAGACACTGTCTGGGTTGACAACTTTCCAAAGTGAGTTCAACCCTACGCCACACCAAGGATAATGCTCAGGCAGTTGCAAATCAGTACGCTCATCACGTTGGGCACAATCACGGACGTTCGCGGCACATCTCCGATCCTGACACCGGTTCATGGCTGCCTTCTGCGAAATGCTCCGCAAATCCCTCGCTATTCAACATTACATTAAGTAAAGGCAGTGAGTTTTCGCGGAGCTCAAGGACGAACAATCTTCTATGCCAACATTCGCCGCATTGAGTCACCTGTTGGGGTCTAGTTAACACCAAAATGATGGCACCCAAGCAAAGAGTAAATTTCGTCGCCGCTTCACACGCCGCGTCAAGCAACACAGTGTTTCCTTTTAACTAGACCTGACCACCTCTGAAAAATCCACAATGTCTCTAACCCTGAACGTTTTAAGCCTTTTGCCGTGACCACTGGTTGGGTAGGGTGGGGTGGCGGTTGCACCCACCCCCCACCATCATTCAGGCTGCTAATCGCCAAAAGCCTTGCGCGCCAAGGCCGTGTGTGGCTGCAACCCGGCCGCGCTGCGCGCACCAGGTGTCGAACGTCCTTGACCTCTGCTCCGGCGTCACCCTACCCCCATCGCAGGATCCCGCCGAGTCCGCTGACGGGACAATCCCAGTTTGCGGGAAGGACTAAGGGAGTTAGTTGGCTCAGGAAGAAACGAGAAAGCAAAGGGAAACTAATGTTTAAGTGGGAAGCGAATGCTGAGGAGCCAGGACTCGCTGGGACAGCTTGTTGGGCTGAGGGCTAAGAAAGCTGTTGTTTCAGCAAGAGCATGTGCTTTATTAGGGCTAAATAGTGGCAAGGGACAGGTGTAGGTGTTGGAGTGGTCGGAGTGGTGATGCGGGGGAGGGGACTTCGAGCACAGGACCAGGAAGCCCCATAGGACCATGTCGACCCTGGCGGTGGTGAGAGTACCGCGCAAGCGTGGTAGGTGGGAAAGGGGAATATGCCGCTTCGCGACAAGGCGATGCCTTACGGCGCGGGATGGAACGTCCGGAAGCCGATGGTCTGGTTTTTGTTGCAAGGAGGAAAGATGGTAAGGTGAGGGGGCCGCGGGTTTTTTGAGGGGAACAGCTCGGTGAAGAGGAACTCCTCACCCCTGGACAAGGCGTCGCAGCCAAAGACGTTATCTCGCGGAAAGTGAGCTAAGCGGTGGTCAAACTGTAAGCGTATCCCCGTTTCCACGATGTTGTGAACAAGAGATGACACCACCAGACTTTGACTGTATCCCTTTTTCGAAAGCCACCATGTTGTTCGCGTTATGCCATTGAATGCACTGTCCAGACAGGTGGGCCCCGACGGTGCTCAACCAGATGGCTACTGTTGTTAGCTACAGAATTTGTGCGGTGGGTTCCTGATCAAATTGGCTCACGCAATGCGGGCGCCAAGACCAGAGCCAGTACTCCTGTCGCGAGCAGAATTCGCCACCGAGAGGGCAGCTGTCGCTAACGAAACCGATCTGCGCTGACGTTGTCCATTTCGCGGGCCGTGATGAACTGGAAGCCCGGCCACTGAAATCCTCGCGCGAAGACCTAGGCCATGACTGGAAAGGGTGGAGAAGGTGGTAGGTGGCGACGAGATAGACGACCTTGGGGAAGAATTTGGCAAATCCATGTCAGTGTGATGGCGACCTGTGTTGTTACGGCGTTATAAAGGAAAGAGGCAATGGTGCGCCGCTGGTCGGAGGTTAGAGACACGGTGTGCGCGTTAGTTTCAATTAAGATTTAGCACATGCGCCAGACACTACTTCCTGCTCCTTCAATACGTAACCAAGGAACCAGGAGAGACGTTTTATTTGTGCCAAAGCGGCTTGCAGTAGCCGTGGATGGCAGACCCCAAAGAAGTTGTCGCTGTAACGCAAGTCGACCATCCACAAGACAGAGTCCAGGCCCCGACGATAGCATTCTTCCAGGTGTTCGAAAAATGTGTCAATGTGGTCCAGATGGCAGCGGCCAAACGCGTCACGAGGGATAGCGCTGTTTACGCTAGGGTCAAGGTCTTACCTCGTGGAAACGAAAAATCGTGCACTAGGCGGATAATCCCTTCCGCCGACCCTTCTTTTTGAATCCAATGACAGGTGGGGGGAGCCGGAGACGGTTAAGGAGGGGTCCTCCACCAAACTGCCCAGGTCTGCGTCAAGCGTCAACGATTTTCGCTTTTTGGTCAGGTGGCGTGTGATGGGTAAAAAGTCGGCCATATCCACATCAACAGACTTGGCTAATTCGAACCACGTCTTTTTGGGAAGGGCAGAGGTCCACGGGATACCGCCCGGTCCGGAAAGGAGACGTTACCAATCCTCCGGTTTCCACGAGTTGAGGCGGCATATCTTTATTCGTGCCGTCTCATTTGCGGCCAATTGGGTATCCACCCACGCCGCGCGGAACCTCAAGGTGCCAAAGGAGATGGGAGTGGGAGGGTGTAAATTACAGACTGCGGGCACGACGGGCCACGGCACCCCCGACGGCCTAATCCACCCCGGAGGCGCACTAGGCGCATAGGTACCGCTGGATGCTCCGGGACCTGGGGCTGGGGAGGGCAACCAGCCCGCCTCCACTTGACTTTCCGGGAGAGGGACCCGGCCCTCCCCTTCCGACGCGTGGGGCCGCGGGAAGAGACGGCGTCGCCGGATATTAGCGCCCGCAGACCGGTAAAACTGATGACGAGGCTGTGCGGGAGGGAATTCCCGCGCGCAAGACCGGGCGGGGGTGGTTGAAGCGCCCCTGACGCCATAAAGGTTGCCAAGGGTGCACCATTTGGCATACCTCCCCGCCCTGGCGCTGGAGACGCGGGTGGTGGTTCTCTGGACTCTCCGCTTCGCTCATGCTATCCTTACAAAAACGCACGACTTAGTCGAGCATATTGAAATGATTGTCAATCGTAAATTTCCTTTTTTTTCCTGACAATAATATTAGTGGGTCTCAATATTAAATGTAATGCCGTTGCCTTTCTTTCTTCTGATTGGACATTGCTGCCAATCCCGTTGCCCCACACTCTTTCTTCTCTCTCCCTTTAATGCTTCTCATAAATAATGGAGAGATTTAGAAGATTTCGAAGTGTAGGAGCTGTGGCGTAATGGTAGCGCATGTGATTCCAGTCCACAAGGTTGTCTGTTCAAGTCAGGCCAGCTTCAAGTTTTTTTGTTTTTTTTTTGACAGAGGCGGAGGGTTAACCACTTGCCTTCGAATGCAAAACACGGTGACTCGTCGCCCTCTCTTCGCTACCCTCTTGCTCATGTGGTTAAGCCCAGGCCCAACCAGCCCCGCTGCCTTTCCTCAGGCCTCTAGCGTGTGAATGACCAGAACAGTCCCATCTGAATGGTGCATCTAGGATCTGCATGGGACGCTCCAGTCGATTTCCAAGTCCCAGCTCCAAATTTGGGCTGAAGATGCCCGCCTTGCTGCCTTGAGGACTAAGATCTCGCACCCTCCAATTGACTATCTTTCCGCGTCAAAAATATCAGACCCCGCCTGCCTACCTTAGCACAAAGGACGAGATGGCGGCCACTCTTTGCTCCCCTACTCATATTGCGGCTTTGGCAGGGAGACTTTTTCTCAGAATGCTCTCTTTCGCTTGCATCGCATGATTGTTTCAACTCCCCGTACCCTATTTCAAGGTTTATGCGGTCAGAACATGACCTCCCACCCTCCCCTTTGTCCCTTCTTCTCCAGTCTCTCCAGCTTCTCCATTAAAACTCCCCCACCCCGTTTCACCTGGCTCCCCCACTCTGACTGTTGTCTCTGATTACCATGCCCCTCTTGAAACCACGGCGTCCCACCTCCCATCAGCGCTAATCTTCCCTTGCTCCTAATCACCCCTCTCCCTCCTAGTCCAGCCCCTGTCCCTACTGTTCCCGGCCCGGAGCCTGATGCCACATCTGCTGATCCTCTCCCGCCCTACCCTGCTGACCTGGTGGTGGCGGCGCGCCCGTAATGGTCCGTATTCATTTTGTACTGGAATTCTCGTGGCCCTGCAGTACTTCAAAGTAGCTCACTTTCCTATCCCATTCACCCTCTTAAAATCCTAATTGTTAGCGCTCCCACCCTTCTTTTATTCACCGCAATCTTCCGATTCTATTCAGCCCCAACGCGCACTGTGGCAAGCATAGTCTGTGGTCTTGGGCAATACTGCGTCAACCACGGAATACTCTATCTCCCTCTTCCTTGACTCAATCTTCCGATTCTATTCAGCCCCAACGCGCACTGTGGCAAGCATAGTCTGTGGTCTTGGGCAATACTGCGTCGGCCAAGGAATACTCTATCTCCCTCTTCCTTGACTCCGAAGTCCTCTCCTTTTGCTCCCCCCCTCCCCTTTTCTCTCCCTGTTCATGCTATCTCTCTCATCTTGGACGCGCTCCGAGGTACCACCCTGCTCTTTTGCGGTGTCCTCTCTCTTCCATATTTTCTCTCCGCTTCTCCTCC